CTGTTGTACACAGTAATATACAGCTATTATCATTTTTATGGTATATATTTCATATATACTTATGTTAATTAATGCATANATATAAGTACTGAATAATATAATATTTACAGGTTTGCAGGAAACAAATGTGTAATACGGGATGTTGCATCTAGATTTGATATAGCAGAATCTACTTTTCATGCTATCACATCCAATATTATGAAATATTTAAATCATATTGCTCCAAACATAATAAAGATGCCAGATACAGAAAACAAAAAAGGATTAGTTGCTCGTGAATTTGAAAATGTGCGTAATTTTTTTATTTNGGTTTAAATAAATGCCTATCAGTTATTAGATTAAAGTAAAATAGTAAATTTTATCAAGAAAAATGTGCAAAATATAATTTTGTACGACATTATGAGCCGGGTGTTACAATCTCTTGATAAACTAACTGATAAATCATAATCTGTTTATCTAATTTGAAAAGAACAAAGACAGACATGATTTAACTTCAATTAACTTATCAAGAATTTGAAACATCCATCTCTATGTAGATATGACATTATATTTTATATTGAAAAGTTTGGTCATATATAAAAATGCATTATATTATTATTTGAAACTTACATAAAATTCACTTTAAAGTAGCTTTATAAATCTAAATATAAAAGTTTGTTTCAGATATGTGGATTTCCTGGAGTTCTTGGATGTATTGATGGAACATATATTAAAATTAGAACGCCTGCAAAAAAAATCAAGAGCACATATATTAATAGGCATCATTATCCATCTCTAACATTACAAGCAGTTTGTGATGCTAATAAATTATTTTTAGATGTTTTTACCGGCACTCCCAGTAAAATACACGATGCAAGAGTATTTCAGTTATCATTTTTAAGTACTGAAATACAAAATATGGCAGATTNTTTTCATTTAATANGCGATGCGGCATATCCATTAAGAAAATATTTATTAACACCTTATAGAGATTACGGTAATCTTACAGCTGCTCAACAAAATTATAATCAGAAGTTGTCTAAAACAAGAGTTAAAATAGAAAATGCTTTTGGATTATTAAAACAAAGATTTAGGCAACTAATACTACTAGATTTTTTCACAGTTAAACGGTCTGCTAATTTTATTATCTCCTGTTGTGTATTACATAATTTATGTATTATGAATAATGATATTTTAGATGATTTAGATATTGAGAATATTGAGAATGTAGAATATAATGAAAGGCGTATGAACAATGAACAGAATCGAAATGATAGAATGGAGGGGGAAATAAAAAGAGATATTATTTGTAATATATTGCCTTTTAATTAGAGAACATGTAACAAAACATACATATATAAATAAAACTGTTTCNTCAAAATACAAAATATATTTCTTTTTTAACTTAACGTATAACTTAAAATTTATTTTAATTAAAATTTTAAAGAACATTAATATCTGTTAGATTATTAGCATTACAGAACGTTAAGAAGGAACGGTTTAGTCTTACGTAATGCACATAAAAACAGTTTTTAATACACAATATATAAAAGAAAATCTCTTTAGTATCACATAACGAACAAAGAACCATTGTGCAGTCAAAGCTTCACTGCAAATGTTTTGAAGCATGATTCTATCTTTATTTCTCGTTAAATGTAGAATAAAGATAGAATGATACTTGGAAATATTTGCAGTGAGACGTTGACCGCACTCCCAGTCTTTAGTAGTACAAAAAAAAACAGTCCTTAGTACTACTTAACCTAACCTAACCTAACATAATCTAACTTATAACACAGTCTTTAGTATTAGATAACGTACAAAAATATAAAATATTTGAAAACAACATCTTCCAAATACATAACTCAGACAACACAAAATCTCTAAGAAACATCATGANAATGTTCTTAGGACATAGCATGTCTTCAGGATGTTCTTTGGAAAATTATGCTGTCTGAGAAAATGTCAAGTTAAAAATTATGCTACTTCTAATCACTATTATCATTAATTGTATTGTCTGTTGAAAACATCATCATAAAGTTACGTAATACTTCTAGTTTTTCAGCATGTCTTCTTTCTCTTCTCTCCTCTTTATCTTTTTGAATCTGTAATAACGTCTCGCTTATAGACATTTTTTTTGTTGTCTTTTTTTGTGCTGTACAATCCTTTACTATATTTTCTTTATTATTTTCAATTATTTTTCCAGGACCTTGCAAAACTTCAGGTTCCAAACTATCATCTATTGCCTTTATCTTGTTTAATTCTTCTTCAAACTCCACTCTTCTTCGCTTTGCACCTGACTGTTGATTGCTTTTTACAGATTGATTTTTGCGTTTTAATATGGTCTTGTAACGATTCTCACATTGTATAGCACTTCGTTCAATGTTTAGTTCTGTCATTATATCATTAGATATTTGTATCCACATTGTTTTTTTATTTTTAAATTGTTTCATAGGTCCAATTAAAGGCAAATATTGCTCATATTTATCCAATAATAAACGTGTACTGTCGTCACACCAAACAGTTGCTTCATTTTTATTCTCTATGTTAGCATCCATGACTTTTCTTAAAAAACCTGTGATAAAAATTGAATAGAAAGTATTAAAATAAAACATATCACAATTAAACATTATGCAACCTAATCTAATCTAACTTAAATTATACAATATAAATTGCAGATGTTAAAAATAAAATATTACAACCACAGTAATAATGTAAAACTTTTACCTGTTTAAACAATATAAAGACTTTAACTTTGATATTTCTTTTCTTTTTATATAAAGTTGCACTGAGTTAAGTCAGTGCAAATTACTATTGCATTCAGGTGGCACTGTGTTAGATCAGTGTAGTACACGCACTCAGTTCAGTATGCACACTCCGAGGTGCGCCCTAATTGGATCAGTGTAGTACCGCACTCAGTTCAGTATGCACGCTCCGAGTACGTTTAGTAACAAAAAGTTACTAGCCACTGAAACGGAGCAAGTGCACGCCAATCGAATTTGCCATAAATCTGCCGTTAGAAGCGCCGACAGATTGTTACCAAACGCAGATTAGATCTGTCCCCTAGAATCCAAGTGGAATTACTACAAAAAAAAAGAAAATCAGTGGTATATCGCCTTATCGGAAGAGAATTAATTCGAGATTTTACTCGAATTAATTTCTAGAAGCTTGATTCAGCTCGTTGATCAACCGATGAACTCCATTGAAAGAGACCGAATCTAAAAAAATCCTAAATGTGATAGCAGGATTTGAACTCGAGACCTCCATATTCGCAGCCCCTACATTCAGTTCGCGAGACCACGTGTGTTCCTTACTAACATATAATTATTTTTATGTATTTATTCTCAAGCTATCCTACATTTCATTTATTATTTATTTCAATTATTATTTTACTAAAAATGTTGCAATGCAATGTACCTGCAACAATAAATAAAAATACTTTTCTTATTATTCTTAAATATAATTTAAAGTACAGTTTTACAACGCAAATGTTTTGTTAATATATGCTGATACTTGAATAAACAAAGTGTTTTTTAATGGATTTTTGGTCACTGAAAATGAATCCGGTGGTGAAATCGACCTAACACGTCAAATTTCTGAGAAAATTAAAGTTAAATGTATAACATGTACAAATGTATAACTGTCTATTAGCGTGAAAAAGAGCATATCAGTGTATCTCATTCACACTAGTGGACATTGTGTTACACAGTGTCGACCGTACGTAGCTGGAAAGCACCTATTGTTTCATATTACTCAACAAATACGAGAATAATACATTAAATTTATGATTGCTTCATTGCCGAATGCGTATAAACAGAAGTATTAAAATCTTACAGTTTGAACTTTACCGGTTCCAGCATAAGTTAACAGTTATTGTCCGCATAAACAAGGTCTAACTGTAAAAGACTGTTCAATGTTTGTTAACAATCTGTTATCAACACAGGCGACAGATATGATCGCAGATAATCGCCACTTTGTTGCCTAGATAGTCGAGTAGTCTTGCGTGCAAACAGTCCGCACATATGCATGAACAGATCTGCTTGGCGTTTGGTGGCAATCTGTCGTCAATGCGTTCAACAAATCGACCTGACTGCGGTCAACGTTTTGTCATAAACAGATGCTCATACGGTTTTGCGGACTGTTTGGTCACAGTATTGCTAAAGCAGATCTGCTTGCTATCGACCATCTATTTGTTATCAATTTCATTAACATATATGGAATCATTTTGGCCGCAATAGTCTCATGTATGTGCCAACAGAGTTGTTGCGTTTTTTGTCTCTATGTGCTAACAGTTTTGGCAGCACCAAAGCATGTTTCCGTACTGTAGCGTTTCTGCACACAGTTTCTGTTGCCAAGGTCTGCGCAGTCAGAAATTTTTTGCTGGGTATATATACATATATACATATAAAAACCCAACAGAGCGCTATAAGCTTATATTAGCATACGCGTTTGACGAACTTATCTTTGCGCGCGCACAAATCGTCAAATGCGCATGTACGCGGGTTAATATAAGTTGATTTCTCATGAAAACAGTTTTTTAAATCATCCGGAATAAACTCACCGCCCGTTGCCGCGACAAGAATTAGCGCGTTGTCGCGACAAAACGCTTTTAAGGTAGTTGTTCCCGTACATTTAGAGTAAAAAGTTAGTCGACAGAAAGTGACGACTCGGCAACGTTGCATTTGACGTAGGTTGTCATCGTGTTTATGAGCACTCGTGAGGTTACAAAGTGAGCATGCACTAATACTTACATACATATATATATGCGTGCGTACGACGTTGCCAAGTCTCCGCAACGTCTCTTCACTTATGACTTCCGTGCTCTGCACAATCAGCTAAATTCTAAACTTTACATTGCTCTCATTCAATAACTAGACAATAAACTAGTTTTTTTTTTTATTATATTCTTATAGATATTTTACATTATATATTAGTTTTTTAACAAATTCTTAAGAAAATTTTCGGAGATAGAACTACAATTGTCACTTCGGTGAAGTCTCGATATAGGGATTACGTATTAAAAGTTAAAACTTTGAAAGCAAGTACCTCGAATTTGAGACGGTAAAAGTCTTTAAATTTTTAACCACATATAAATAAGATTTATACTAACATGTGGTTAAAATTTCAAGACATTCCTATGAAACTCGTTTTTGGGAACAACTATCTTAAATCACCCGGAACAAGCTCACCGTTCGTTGCCGCAACAAAAATTAGCTCGTTGTCGCGGCAAAACGCGCTGAACTGCGGCCGCCACGGGGTTCTCCACCAGTGATGGAAATTCGAGCCCGCGCACGCTACCCTTTTTCCCCCTCTACTGACACACACATAGACGTTCGGTCTATCCATGTAACTCGTCGACGCCGATGGATAGACTGAGTGTCTATGTGTGTGTAAGTAGAGGGGAAAAACGGTAGCGTGCACGGGTTCGAATTCCCATCACTGCCCTTCACACGCGAAGGTGAACTCATCGTCGCAAACCAAACACGGTTTAATTTACGAGTACGCTTGCCGAATTGTTCATTCTTCGATATGGACGTGCGCTGGAGACATCCCTAGACGTCGATCGTTTGCGGACCTACAAGATATGGAAAAAAATTTTTGTGAAAATTTTTCTTTACTATTTGCCGGGAGTGGCATTCATTTAAACACGGTTCAATTAGACACAGTGCAATTGGAGACGGTGCAATTGGACACCAAAAGATGCGCACCGTTTACTTAGACACCGTTTATTTGCATACTGTTCATTTGCGCACTATTTATTTGCACACTGTGCAGAAGGACACTGCTTATCTAGTAACTGTGTACATCGTGCTTCGCAGGCGCATCCGAAGGATGCGCAGTGCAGAAGCCCAGTCTTTTACACTGTGTAGTAAGCGTATAGGCAGGGGGGATTGCGTCTCCCCCACAGGGGGAGGGGCTCGGCCTCCTCCTCGCCCCCCTCCTTACGTTGGTCCCTCGCTAAGTCTGCGCGTCTTGCGGCGGGACCTTCGGATGCGCAGTACAGTATACAACTGCACAGTTACTAGATAAGCGGTGTCCTTCTGCACAGTGTGCAAATAAACGGTGCGCAAATAAACAGTGTTCAAATAAACGGCGTCCAACTGAACGGTGCGCATTTTTTACGGTGTCTAAGTGAACAGTGCGCATTTGAATGGTGTCTAACTGAACGGAGCGCATTTTTTACGGTGTCTAAGTAAACGGTGTCTAACAAGGGAACCTGGCAAATCCGAAAATTCTGATTTTGATGAAACTTTGCACACATGTAAGGGGAGTCAATAGATGAATATTGACATTTTCCATTGCTGCCCGAAAACGGTTTTAAGGGATGAAATCACCCCTCATATGTAGAGCGGCTTTTCACTTTTCTATATTTATCTCGAAAATGATTAGAGATATTAAAAAATGGTTTATACAAAAATTTTATAGAAAAAAGTTCTCTATTTGTTATATTAATAGAATTTAAAAAAATAATTTAAAAAAAATTGTTTAACAAAAATATTAAAAAAATTTCTTTTTAACAATTCTATTAATGTAGGTAAATNGAGGTGTTTTTCCCATAAAACTTTTATATAAAACATTGTTTGATATCTTTAATAGTTTTCGAGATACATCGAGAAAAAAACGCAAAACCGTGTTATACATAATAAGTGTTTCACTCTTTAGAATCGGTTTTAGGCCGCCATTGAAAATTTCTACATTCATGTAGTTATTTATACAGTGTACAAAGTTTTATCGTAAGAACATCTCTATGTAATCGCACATTAATACACTTTTGAAATAAGTTGTTTCTAAAATTTAATTATAGCATCTTTTATATAAGGAACTATTTTGCGGTATATATCACAATAAAGATAGTAATTTTTTAAATAAAGATGCTTTTATTCTTTGAATATTTCAAGTCATGTTGCAGTGCAACGTGACTTGAGAGATCATTGAGCATATTCTTATTGCAGTCTCTATAGTGCATATTGTATATGTAATGTATCACGCACATATCACTCACTTCCGTAAACACAGTGCGGAGTAGTCATGTACGTTATACGTGAGAATAGTCTGCAATAATTTTCCATAATCAAAAGACTTTGACAAAAGGAAAATTTAAATAATTTTAACACACGAATTGAATGCCCTATCTGAATTTTACTTTTCTGGCCTTATTGACTAACACATAAAATTTCAGTATAACATCTCGAAAATTTATTTTACGGTCTATTATATTTTTTGATAACAGTATACGATTTACATATACATTTAGTTCATAATCGCCAGCATATCACTTGGCTACGCGAATCAGTCACAGTATGACACGCTGACGTTCGTGTTGCACTCGACACTACATAATAAATAATGTAAATAAGATAAAACTCCGTATGTGCAAAGTTTCATCCAAATCAGAATTTTCGGGTTCGCGAAGTTCCCTTGTCATCATAGTGAGTGAATTAGATAGGCACGATATGTAAAGAAAACAATACAGGCAAAAATATAAAAATAAATAAAGAATGAAATAACAATAACATGTTATGCTTCAAATCTGCTACATTTATTTTAGCAAGTTCTGCTTGATTGATGCAATAATATTTGCATCACGGCATAACACATTTATATTCTTTTTTTTTCTGCTTTTCTGTCGACACTAGTTGAAATAACAGATTATGTTTAACTGCTGGCTACATCGTACAAAATGTTGGTAAAGGGGAAGGTAGAGGGGAAGAAGGGGAAGGAGAGGAACATAAAAACATACACCCGTGAACGATATCTGACACAGGAAGCTCATTGTGAGTAAAGACTACAAGAATAATCGTTCCACGTACAAGACTCCTTGTCCATTGCATCGCACGCGTTATCAGAGATACTCGATCACAAAATATTGTGTTTGTAATCGTTCGGGTAGATTAGTAATAAGTTATAAGTTTATACTAGTTGAATAGTTATAAGTTATAATACTTGAAATAATTTTACCTTTTTTACAGAGTCACATTAAACGGTTTCTGTCAGAACCATAAATATATCTTTGATAGAAGAACATTTTTGAGCGCAACCTTATAAAGTAAAATCTAGCGTAACTGCTTCAAAATTATATAAAATAATTGTTTGTGTCATTCTTCTTATCTTTTCATACACACACACACATTATTTTTTAGTATCATTATTTTGTTAAATTTTTAAATACATATACAACTATATATGTATATATAAATATGTATATATGTATATATTTATATATAAACATAACTATTATAATATTACCTTACTAGTTTTTATTTTTGATGTTTTAAAGAAAATTTAACACTAATTATACAAATTTAGTATAGTGTTTTATGTTTTATTCTTAATATTTAAATAATGTTTAAAAATATTTTAATAATCACTATGACATTTATCTATTGTCATGGTTTTTTACTCTCTTACTTAAATATATTTTACTTTCTTACACTTACCGTAAGTAAGTTTCTTATATCACGTAAAATNCTTAAATATATTTTACTTTCTTACACTTACCGTAAGTAAGTTTCTTATATCACGTAAAATTATATCACGTAATAATTAAATAAATAAATATTTGATATAAATTATTGAAGTCACTTTCAATGCAGAGTTACTCTTTTCAATGTTCACGATAATTTTATGATAACATATGCCTGTTGGTATTATTGGTAACCGCGTCGGTATGTATCATCGGTAACCGTGTCGATATATGGATTAAATCTCGGGCCGCTGGCGCGTGGTAGTAGGAGGTGGCCGGAGGAGAACTACTTCTCCTCACGGCGCACGATATGGTGCTCCGCACTGTATGTATGTGTATATATATATAGATCAAGTATTCTGTCCAGCAAATGAACCTGGATATAACTTATGTGAGACAGATAGCTGTTTTGTCAGTGAGATAAACACAAACCAGTTATCTGTCTTAGTCATATTTGGCTTCATTAATTACCGTACAAAAAATATGAGAAATAACAATATTATATGTTGTTCAATCCACTAGTTGAGTAATATAGTCTTCGTCATATAGTTTTTTCTCCTTCTTCTCGTCTTCTTTCCGCTTCTACAGCTACGTTTGACTTGGTACTACAAGTGTTTGAAAACGTCTCATTAAATAAAACTAAAATTCTAATTAAAAAACTAAAAATATAATTATTTATTCATTCTATAAAAAATAGTATATAAGTTACAAATTAAAAAACAAATTTATTTATTTTAAACAATAAATCGAATATTCTAGCACTTGTAGGACTAAAAACTTATATAGTTTTCCTCAATCTTTCGCGTGGCATAGTTTTCGTATTGTCTAAAGATGTTAAATTGTCAAAGATGTAAAATTGTCACATTACAAAAAGTTACAAAAGAATTAAAACAAGTAAGAAATAAAATTAAAGTTATTGCATACTTTGTCTAATTATTTGTAGGTGCTTGATCCGTACTTTCATTCGATTCCCCGTCGTTCCATAAATCGCGTCGTTGGATCTTTGCGCCGCCGCCGTTTGGAACAGTCTTCCTGCGTGATCTGCTCCTGTGTCTCTCTCCTTAGACATCCTCAATGCCTTACGCATTTGCACTTGGAATTCAGAGCGCGTTGGTTTTTCAAAGTGTTTGTTTTGGCACACACTATCTAAAAATTAAACGCAAATTGCATTATTGTTACGGACAAAATAATATTATGCATAAATAAATATAATTGATTTTACGACCATAAATCGCCATAATAAGACGAGTATCATATAATGACCGATGTCCTTCACGGCCCCACCATGTACAATAAAAGACGGCGCGATAGTATCCTTCAAACTTTCTTTCAAACAGCAGATGTTCACAGCTTCTCTCAAATTAAAACCGCCAATATAACAGAAATAATTTACCTACATATCAAAGATTAATATAGTTGCATATAAGAAAAACTATAAATACAATAAAGTAAAATTTTCGAGAATTCAGAAAATATTGGCCGTATGGAGCAAACACAGTTACCCAAGTAGCATAAAAACGTTCTCAGAATGTTCGGCGAATGTTAGAACAGTAACAGTGAAAAACGTTTTTTGTTATGTTAGAAGTTCGCTCAGGACTAACATTCTCTTAACATTCAGCAAACGTTCTCAGAACGTTTTACTGAAACGTTTCCGTAACATTCGGCGAACGTTATACAAAGAGAATAAAAAAATTTTTCGCAGGTTGCATTTTTACACAGCTTCGAGATTTCACTTGAATTAATTTTTGGAGGCCCGATTCAGCTCGCCAATCATCCAATGAACTCTATTGAAAGAAACTGGATCTGAAAAAATCTTAAAGATGATGGCAGGATTTGAACTCGAGACCTCTGTATTCACAGCCCCTGCACTCAGTCCGCGAGACCACTTATTCCTTACTAGAATGAGATTATTTTTATCTACTTATTCTCAAGCTATCTTGTACACATTTTATTTATTATTATTTCTTTAAATTATTATTTTATTAAAAATATTGCAGTGTAATGTACCCTTGCAACAGTGGATAAAAATATTTCTCTTATTATTATTAATTATT